GGTTTGCGTGAACTGATTCAAACTGAACAGTCAAATTAATTTTTTTAGCAACTGAAAATCATTTTTGATCCAATTTTTCTCGTACATTTTTTAGTGAAAATCATTTTTGATCGACTTTTAATGCCTTCTTTTGTCTGGTAATTAAATTCAACCAAATTTTGCTCTAAGAGTTGTTTCGGAGCACAGAGTATTAAATTTTTTCCCTCCTATTTTAACCGATTTGACTGCACTGCAATACTACCAAAGCTCACCCATCTCTTCTTGCTGTTGCGCTTATAAATTAACTTATTACTTTTCAAGGACTCATCGCATATGTTTATAAGCTACTGGAGTAAAGGAAGGCCAGCGGATATCACGTTTAATTATGAAGTGGTTGGAGCGGATCCAATCTATGGTTTCTCGCGAACCTGTGATTCCACTCGAACACTTCGAGTTTTTAATGAAGAGGTTGGATTCCCTTCTCTCTTTGTCCGATGAGTGACGTTTTGAAAATGTCGATTTGAATTTTTATTTCTGTTTTTTTCAAAGCCTACTGAGTAATTAGAGAGAGATGGGCTTGTTAGTAGAAGTAGTCACGAAGTAGTGCAAGAAATTTTGCCGAAAAAGTTTTGAGAAGAGGTTATACAGCAGGTCATAAATTGAAACTAATATAAAAAAATAGAATGTGAGGTAAGGTACCATGTGCAAGAAGACATTTTAGGATGATGGATCAATTTTTGCGTTTTCATTTCTTGACTTTGAACATAGGCCGAATAGAGCATGCGAGTAGAAATGGGAATCATCAGTGCAGCCTTCTGCCTGCCATATATGTAATGAGCGTTTCAGCAGTTGTATAAAATTAAAATGTTATTTTTCTTGTGATATTTATAACTGTAAATCTAAATCATGTTTTTAATACTTTTCTAGTACACATACAAAACAACACGTATGCATTCATTTTTGTAGCACCTATTTTTTTCAACTTGTTTCGCAACTTTTATTATGCGTTTTTTGCAGCTATTAAATGCGAAAAACGCATATTGACGAGAGGTTGTCTGTGCGTGTGTGTGTCTGTGTATCCGCGTGTGCGTCTGTCACGGTTTTTCATCTCAAGACCAATAAAAGCTACTAGGCTGAAAATTTGGGAACTTAATCTACATGCACGTACGC